TCCAGCCTGGGTATGGATGTTTGCTGTTGTATTGTGACATGATGGTAGTTGATCCAACCACCATGTATCCCGTCAATACCCCACTCCTTCCCAGACCTCTCCAGGTCTGAATGTTGCATGAAAGGTATGGATGACTGAGACTGCCTGTGTGCTAGGTGAAGAATGCTCCGTAATGCAGGAGTAAGTGTTCCAAGGGTTTCCGAGCCATCGTGGAGTTAGGGAGCGGAGGCTACAGTAAAGGGACTCTATGGTGTAAAAAGGCACTGGTATTAATTGAGGGGAAGGAGCATCAGCTCATAACCAAATGGTTAAGATGATGTAAATCACCTGATAAAGATGATGATGATTTGCTAATTTTCTATATTTCTTCCTCTTCAATGTATTGTACTTAGTAACATTCAGTTTTGAGGTCACAAATTTGTCATAGTTCAATGGAAAAATCAGACTAACTATATTATATTAAATACGTGTGTATGTGTGCACACAAGTGGATGTGTGTGCACTTGTATGTATGTGCTCATGTGTACATGTGTGTGTGCATGTGTGTGAACATGTGTACATGCATATGTGTAGGGCATGTAGAATGAAAGAGATTATACCTCCACAATAGGTCATCACTATAGGTAAATAGGATGTTACATCGATGACAAGAATCGTGGTGAATGTGACAAAAGTAATAGAATAACAATTGAAAATTTTATTAAATTAAATTCATACTTCATAATAAAGCCAATAAAATATCACGCATCTGGGTGTAATAACTTATAATCTGGAAAAAAAATTGCTTTTGATAAATCTCTTCATTAAATAAAAAAAAAATGTGTCTATATATGACACAGACAAATGGGGTCCATTTCTACAAGCACAGCATACACTTTGGAATAGTGTTATTCTAAAAATATCGCAGTGCTTCCGGATATTAGAGGTAAAGGAAACGATGCCATCAAACCACAAATAGTTTTTGCAATTATACGGTCTTTAAAACACTAAAAAATTAAACTAGCTCCAGGATATCTAGTTTTTTACCTAAAACTAATTTATTTTAGTATAAAAATTGTTTTTAATGACTCTGAAATGGAACAATCTATTTGCAATGCAACATTTCATGGCATCCTCATGCACTTGATTAAATACCACAAGATGTCAACTGGTTTCTCTCTAGATATTTCATTTAATGTATTATCTCCAGAAAAAAGCTGAGAACACAGGGATGATGAAAATTTCCTCAACTTCATCTTGTCAGAAAGAAGCTCAGAATAAAAATTGCAGAATATTCATTTTGAAAGTGTTTCTATACATAATAAAGGAGTTAATATTCAAGTAAAAGAACAATCATTTAATACCTGTACATATCAAATTATCACACATTAAATAAATAATTTCTACCTGCTTTCAAGATAAATTATTACTAGCCGTTAAAAGCAGTTTATTTCATCTTAAATCAAAGTTCATTCTAAAGCTCTCATCAAAGTTGAACGCAAATCTAATTAAAAAGACTAGTTATTTGACGGTTTTAAGATATTTAGTGTACATAGCTGTTTTTTATAATTCTATTTTGTTATATTGATTTAATGCAACCCAACAGAGGACACTCTTAACAGCCAGTTGCATAAGGATTTAACAGTTACTGTCCATTAAAAACAATTAAACAAGTTGTAGCTATAGATTGTAACAAGCACTCTTATTCCAACAGTATTTCTTGTCGGTTTTTTTTTATAAGAAGCTGGTACTATGAAAGTACTGAATGGCACAGTGCCGAATACCCAAATAACAAACTTGGTTGGTTATTTGTCATTTATTATCTAATGATGTTCATAACTATAACACATTTTTAAGAGAGAAATATTAAACTTTATGCTATTAAACAATATTAAGCATCTATGCTATTATATAATAATTGCAGCTACTGCAACAAAATACTACATAGAAATAATGACTCTGTTAACTCCTTTCAAAGGTGGATGGTTAAACACTGTCTAAAACCACATTAACTGACATTCTCATAAGAATTTCATGACACTGCCAAATGAAATTTTAATTCTTATCATAACATCACTACTCACAATAACGTAATTCTGTAGCTTACATTCAAATTTGCTGATGGAATTTCTTGGTGAAGACTTTGTGAAAATTAACAATATTTCCTAACAATTTAATCATAATTTTACTTGTGTTTCAGTGTGAACACTGTTCTAAAGAAACTGATGTTTATGATACCGTCACACAAACACAAGAATGTATAACCACCTCAAAAAATTGTAAACTCTCATTACATGGAAAATACTGTCGATTTTAGTTTTGCAATAATCTATAAAATTTTTGTAATTAACTTCTTGTAAATTAATAATTTCAATTATTTCAATGCACACACTTGTCAAAAACACGATTTGTTCCAAACTACTGTATCCGATCTATTTTTTTGTGATGTGCATTTATTTAAAAGTAGCTACAATAGTTATTTTTATATTAAGTGCATGAAATTATTGTTTTGCATATACTTAACAAGAAAACAAAACTTACTTTTAGAAATATCCCAGAGTTTGACTTTTCTATCAGCTCCTCCAGTGGCTACTAATGGACGATCGCTAGGACTCCATCTTACCGCATGAACTTCACCATCATGCGCATCCTAAATTGGGCAAAGTGACAAACATACATGTCCTTCAACAACAAATGATCTTATATTAAGTTAATCATGAGTACAACTTCCTTGAATTCTTTACACTGGAGCCAAATTTTTGACTTCTGTAGAACAAATAAAAATTAACAAAGAAAGCATTTCACATAATATTATTCAATTTATTACTATATTTTATGGGAATCTTTAAATTTTTTACAACCGTTTTAACATATTTAAACTATTTCACTACAATATAGTGCTTTCAATTCTAATTTCTGTATCAAAACAAATTTACACATGGAACTGCGAATATACCAAATTCACACACAAATTAGTCATGTTACCCTCAGAATAATAATTTGGAGGCAATAAAAAGTATTTTATTTCTTTGTATCACTACTGCAGTTTTGTCATTCTCTGCAAGGTCAGTTACCCAATAATGATTAGATCACCATTGATCTTGTAAAAGCTGTAATATTTATCAATCTAAAAGTTTATATGTTTTAAGGACTAGCCCTCAGAGAAAGAGAAACCAATAATACAATTTTCTTTATATCATAATTTCCTTTTTTTTTTCTGTGAATCTTCAAAATCATATAACATGCATATCATAGATATCAAACTTGTAAATAAAATATTATCTTTTATTTTACCTAGGAATAGTCTTTCATGTCCATATTTTTCCTCACTATAATTATAAAGTTGTCACATTTACAAGATATATTGAAAGTTAATAATTATTTGTTGCCTTGTAACTGACATCAAAATACTCTGTATACATCTTGAAGATATAACGTTCACAAATTGAAATGAAGATATTATCAGGAACTTGGCCATAATGACAAACTAAATGCAAATACAAAAAATTAACTTTGGCTACAGTGAATACTAAAATATTACAAAATTCTTATTTATTTCTCATTACTTCATTAAATTTCACAAGATGATGATGAAAAAACAAAAAGAAATTTAAAGAAAAAAAAACAACAAACGATTTTATATAATATAAATAAAGGTTCTTTTATTAAAAAGATAAACAAAATGAACAATTCAAACAATACAGTTTTCTGTACTCACAGTGTACATTTTTTAGTGACAGAATAAAAATTATTTTTGCAATAATCATTTCAGATAATTCCAATTGGAATCACAGTTCCAAATACTCGTATAACAAAACAGGTTATAATGAAAAATCTTAAAAATTCATTGTCTTTCCAATTAAAAAAATCAAATCATTTGATGACATTTTCATATGAGCAGCACACTCACCTCTGACAGTATAACAATTGAAGCAAAATGACAAACTAAACAAAAAACCAAGCCACAAAATGCAAGTTCACAATACACATGAAAACAAAAGTGCTGACAATTTTATTCTTTCTATCAGAACAATTATACAATGCAAATAAGTTACAGTGCAATTAGATTAGCTACTTACAAATTTAGCTGTGCACTTTGTAGGAAGAGCATTAGATAAGAAAGGTCCTGCACCGTCTCTAAGCCTATCAGGAGACACTGCCCTTGCGTCTCTTGCCGCTTCTTCCAACTCCTTCTGAAGTCTTGCCTGCCTCTTCCTACAAATTATACAGAATATATATGTATGTTAAACTGAGAAATGTTTGCCCTGTTACACTCAAAGACTTATTCTACATTAAAAAATCATGATAATGAGCAACGAATAAGGAGCAAAATTTATCAATTAATATTGTTAATAAATGAAATGGTAAGTATCCTTACAACCAATATCCTTTGTACTTATTAAAACTAAATGATAGTTGGGAAATATTTTTTTGGTTTTACAAGGGTATAATAAATCACTAAAAAATTGAGGAAGAACCAACAACTTTTATCACAGTTATTTAGTAACAGAGTCACTATGGTCACTATCAATAAAATAACAGGTAAACCATTATATTTAAATATTTCAAAATAGTCAAGCAATGAAAGAAGCATTGAATAAACTTTAATAATCATACTTAAGTTAATATTAGAAGTTGAAAATAACAGAAAGAAAATATTTTTAATTTAAATCATCTAAATTAGATTATGAAACAAATATTTGAAGGTATATAAAAATGAAGTGACAAACTTTCTATCAGATTACTACTACTTAACAATTTATCACAAGATCACGTTTTATAACTTGATCAACGCAAATTGTCATTGCAGAAGCAGATAATAATGTAATGTATGTACATTTATTACATATTTGTATCAATAAAATAACGAATCTTAAAATTACTCCTCGAAGGACAAAAATGCATTTATCATCATGAAAAGGGAAATTAGTCCTGCATGAAGCAATTCCATTCACATTCATTCCATTTACACCACACACGTAACAACACAACTTGTGGTCAACCATTATACCCATGAACACCAAAGCAAAAACAAACCACAATGTAAAATGCTCAATTATTTTGAAAATATGCTTACAGTATTCATACAAGAAACATAAATAAAGCAAGTACAAGAACATAAATGTTTATGTTCAAGGCAGAAAAAGTATTTCTGTGATACAACTTCAGAAATTAATATTTCTCAAGAATAATGCAACACAAAAATGTATTATTATTCAACTTCTATCCATAAAGAAACATTTCAAGTATTTCCACTGACCTCAAATGTATGAATACAGTAAGAGATTATCTCACCCAGCTCCATTCATTATTTTGAGATACATGACCTATTTAGAGTTTAACATTAGTTTCCAGCCAGATAATCCCTTGTTTCATTACATGCATTAGTGAGTAAAATAAGGACTTCCTTTCAGAAACTCATCAGTACACAGACAACAAGAAACAAAACATAAAATTGAGCATTATAACATACACCTTTTGAAGAGTCAACAAATGAATTAAAAAAAAAAAAAAAAATCCAAGTTATTAATTAAAATTGTAATAAAACGATATGAAATGGGATTTATCTTATACACAATTAATGTCCTTTATATTTTTCATGAAACAACACCTTATCATACAAACAATTATTATGTACAGGCCCCAGTCCACAAATAAGAAAGTAAAAGCACATTCTTCTATAGTATAAGTATAACAAAATTTTACATAAAAGAGCCAAATTTTCTTGAAAAGCATTGTAATACTTGAACAGAAAGAAAAAAAACAAGAATTTTAGAATAGTGATAGATCATTAACGAATAACATTCTGAAAAATTACGATTTTAAAAATATAACATTGATAATATAGTTTCTTCCAAATAGCCAAGTTTCCACTGATTCCTCAGAAGTCTACATTTGTAATATGTACTCATTTATAACAAAAATATTTTATAATACTGTAAGTTATTTACAATAGTATGAACTCCTTTTTACAAGAATATATCACGGAGGGTGAATTACTCAACAGAAAACCAAACACTATGAAAACAGTCAATGGTGAATTTTAATAAGACATTCCATAGAAGTAAGTAAAGTTGGTCCCAGATTGGCTAATTTTCTTCACTTACTTTAAAGTTAATTTTATTTTGGCAGCCAAAGCTATAAAAAATATATATCCAAAAAGACTTAAAAATTGAATAGTTTAATTAAATTTAGTATACTTTTGCTCTAGTATTTACACAGACAACACACAGTAAAAAAAATATATTTAATAATAACAAAAGCTACAGAAAACTGCGAAGAAAAATAAATTACTTTTATACATCTAATTTAGTACTGACGAGTTTCTGCTCAAAGATTATTACCCAAAGACGGCACACACCCTACCTTGTAGGCATCCACAAGATTATGAATTAATTGACATAATTTTATATTAAAAGCAGTATTCATTAGCCGTCAGTTTGATTTACACTTTTCGCACCATCAGATAGCTGATTTAAAATAACAACTTATAAAATTATAGGGTCAGCAAAATATTCAATGTTTCCAAGGACTTGTGAGTGGCCCAAGGTAGAATGGCCTCAAGTCCCAACACCATCTACCCCACAAACAGTCGCCATAAGCATGAACATGATACAGCATTATCTTCACGAACATCTATCAAGGCTTTAAGTGTTTCACATGAACTAACATACACAAAATTGGCGCTCCCTTGCAGATACACACTACTCACCCAAAACGCCCAACTGTTTGTATCAGAAAGGCAGTTGGATTAATGGATCTCGAACTGGAAACAAATGTTTGAAGCTCGGTGGTCTCTACAGTTACTTCCTAAATCTTATAATAAATGCAGAAAATATTTTACAGTCAGATGAAACAGAGTAAGATTAAATATTTTTTATGCCAATTGGAGAATGAGAAAGACATGATGTGTAAACCACATTGCAGATCACAACCCATTCAGTATGTGACAGCCAAATCCAAATTATGAATTAAAGACATTCCCCAAGAATACACCAAACTATGTACAAAGTTGTAACATCAAAAGAAAAGAAAAAAATTAAAAAAAGAATAAGAAGTAATGTAGTACTATTTCACAAGATAATACTATATTACTTTGTTTTATTATGAAGTTAATATTCTGTACAACAAATATTATTTAGAAACACAACAATAAATACCTTATGAAGTTTTCATTCTCTTCATTAAGTTTATCAGCATCTTTTGATTTATATCTCATGAGGCGTTCTACTAAAGCACAATTCTCGTCCTGTAATATCAAACAAGAATTTAAAAACTGAATTCTTCAATAATTTCCTTTCCCATTTCAATTTTTCCCCACTAAGCATTTACCTGTGTGCTCTTCAATTTTTTTTCAAGAGAAAAGAAGGTAATTTGTAGAGCTTGATGTTCATCCCTTTCCACTTGATTGATTTTTTCCAACTCCTTTATTCTTGTTTGATAACGCTGAATGTCAGAACGTAAGGTTGCAATTTCAGACACTCTTTCAGCTAAGCTGGAAACAAAAAAGTAATGAGAAAAATGAAGTCATAAAGATCTGAATGTTTAGTTGTGAAAATGAATACTCAAGGTCTTCATATGACTTAAATTTTTGTAGTGTAACTTAATTATCAGATGTAAATAATTACATTTTTTGAGCTTTTAGCTAAAGCCATTTTAGGAATATGTTCTCCTATTTGAGAAAATAATTTTAACAGATCTTTGACAATACATGAAAACAATCTGTTAAAAACTAAGGTTTCACTCTGTATTTTCCAACATATCATTAAATGCACAGGATAATTACATTTCTAGTACCTTCTGCAGATTGAATAACCAACATTATTAAAAAAATAATAACCTTGTCAGGTGGTACAAACCTGTCATCTAAAATTTTAACCTGCTTTTCTTTCTCTTGTAATTTGTAATTTAGGTCTAAAAGCTGCTGGGCATTATCCCCCTTGCGGCGATGTAATTCTGTAAGTTCTTCTTGTTGTGACAATAATTTTTGTTCTAATGCTTGAATTCTTTCATTGGGTTTGCGATCAGATGATGCTGCAGGCAATCTTTCCAATTCCAACTTCTCAACACGTAATTGCTCATTTTTTTTGGTAAGCTCCTTAATTTCACATTCCAAACAAAGATTCTTCTCCAATAGGTGATTGTCTGAAAAATACATATAAATCATTAAATTAAATATTCTTGTGAAAGGTACATGGTAGGACAATTTAACAGTGACAGTTACTTAACCAATACAACACTTATTTTGGCATGACAGGTGCCACTATTATGAAAAGTACATCTATCACCACATAATTTTGAATCATATGTAGATTAGAGTCCTAAAATAAATTCCATGTGCTGCAAAGAACTTCGAGGAATAATAATGGGAAGCAAATGCACGCATGAATATACTCACGGGAGGTTATGATGTCTTGAAACCTACTACTCTGGGCTTGACATACGTTTTGCAACTGCGACACAATACTACTTCGCCAGTCGCTAGCGTCGGAAACACAGCCGGCTGTTGCCATGTTCTCCGTTCACCTACCGCTTTAAAATTTAAAGGACCTTCACTGAGCAATTACACAACAGATTACTATCAGTCAACATGTACACCAAATGTTTTGAAGTCTGCGACTCCCGGCCACCTGGATTCTACACCACTGTTCAACTGCACACACAATGTGGACAGCTATCATACTGCCTTGAAATCTCTTCTGTGGTCACGACGAGTACCAGAGAGTGAAGATAGTCTACTATAACATTTTTTTAAAAAAGTGCATTAACATAAAATAAAGTAGGAAAGATGTCTTAAAGTAAAGTAATTATTGAGTATTACTTGTTCACTGATCGTTACGTATCATTGGAAGAAAATGGAAGGGAAAAAAATACGATAACATTATGTCTTTTCAGGTTGAATTTCTGAAACCATCAATTTAAGACCTAAATTGTTCTACAAAAGTAGTGTAAACACAGGCAACTTTGGGTGTGTAAAAAATTATGTAGTTTGTTGTCCTGCCAAATTCTTGATTCAATAAATACTAATTTGTCATGACTTCATTGCACAGACACTGAAGATTTGTGTTTTTGCTCATTATTAGCCGTATCAATTGTTTGCAGGACTTTATGTGAATTTTTGTTTTCGACTTGCAGAACAGTCTACAGAAGTGTCTCTTCCTGATTATAAGTTAAAATTTGAATAATTGATAATAAGCCTTTTTCATAATTTGTTTTTAATACTAATTGTTTCTGCTAATCATAAAAATAGTATGTGTCTATATATATACCTAATTGATTTAATAAATTTTACATGGAAAAGGACTTTAATAATAAAAATTGTCCTAAAATATAAACTCCGATTACATGTTTTAAAATTCCATTTAAATTTAAATTAGTGGTTCAAGAGAATGGTTCAGACTTTCCAGTATTAGTTTTCTATTTCCTTTGGTTTCGGCTTGCCACAAACTCTTGCCAGTTGCCATCTATCGCCGCCCAAAGTACACTTTTGACATTTTCTTAACTTTTCGGTCTCCGAATTGTAGAGCGAAAATATTATTTATGATTATTAAAGAACAAAAATATATTTCTAAATGGCATTCTTTTTGAAAAATTTGGAGCCCTTTTTAAAAAACTGGCGTTTAAGACCTACTGTAAATTCGAAAATGGAAGTTCTTTTTTTGTAATAACAAAACAATACACCGAAATGAACTTTATGTCATTTTAAAGATTGGAATTAGCACTGCCCATTCGAAATGTTTGAAAAAATTGGATACGTTTTTGTGAATATGGCGTTTGAGCGTGTCTGAAAATGCAAAATTTTGAACTGGTTTTCACGGAAAACTGTGGAGGTTTTGAGAAACTTGATATACATTATTTACAGCATATATTCTCAGAAATATAATAAAATGAAGAAATTGCTGCTTATATAAATATTAACTACATGAAAGACAAGTCAAATAAATTACATTCTTGTAATTTTTGAGAAACCGATAGAATAGAGCAATACGGTGTTTATGGCATCGTATAAAGTAGATTTAGCACCACCCTTCCAAAAGTTTAAAGAAAAAAATTGGAGCCGTTTTTAAGAAAGTTTTGTTTGTTTTTTAATTAAAAAATGCACATATTGCACGCGATATTACGCAAAAAACACTAAAATGTTTAAAAAATTACTTTAATAAAAGAACTCATTATGGAGAAAAAAATATGTTTCAAGGAAAATTTCTATTTTAATTTTGTAGTTTAGGAAGACACCGAACAAAAAACATTTTTTGAAATTTTCGGAAGTTCGGAGTTAACTGTGAAAATCAGACCTAAGCCACGTTTATAAGTGTATGTTACTCTATTCTTAAAATAAATTTAAGAAACAAATTTAGAGCCGTTTTTGAGAAAATTGTGAAAATGTCCGAAGGGCTTCATGAAAAGTATCTCTAATTTTTTAAGAATGTTTTTCCAAATCTCAAAGTATCGACTCGAGCCAGTTAAACAGAAGTTTCTTTAATTTGTAAAAAATCCTAGGTATGGTTTAGGCGCTAGTAGTGTTCACAGACATCAGACGGACGGGCAGACGGGCAGGCTGACGTTTTGGAAAAAACACTTTTTCGGTATCAGAGAACCCCAAAACATGTATTTCCGTCAAAATCTCGAAATTGATTTTCCGCAACATTACATAACTTTCCCTGTACTACGTATAACACTCTGTATATACGTGCGTACACGGGAAAGTAAAAAGTATTACATCACTATTACTATAGGAGAGAAAGTATGTGCTGTTTTAGCTCCACCAGTTTGCAAGTTGAAGACACCCTGTCGATCTGGCTTGAGTTGAATCTTTGAGTTTTAGAAAATATTTTTTAAAATTTGAAGGTACTTTACATGAAGCCCTCCGGACATTTTCAAAATTCTCTCAAAAACAGCTCCATATATTTCATTAAAATATCTTGTAAGAATATAGTAAAATATACTTATTAAGATTGCATAGGAAATATAGGGCATGTAGGCATATCAAAACTGCATAATAACATGAACGATGATACAATACATAACAATACGTGCGCAGAATATTCATTAGAGTTAACATTACATTATTTACTGACTACTTGCTGAAGGAATCATGAGAGACAGTTTATAACGCTATTGACACAAATGAAAAATATAATCTATTTTTTTCTCAAAACTTTCATTTCACTTAAACGCATGCTTTCCTATCAAAAAGAGAAAATTGAACATTTCACGGAAAAATAATACTTGGATCACATAAGGAATTAGAACAGAGTGTAAAAACAAAGGTACGCTTTACGTTTTTTCTAAACATCATAACGTATCATCCGGTTTCCATGTCTTCTTCCAAGAAAACAAAATCATTTCAAGGAATGTAATTTTTCTAGGCCTCTCAATTCAGTCAAACCTCAAATGAAATGTACTTATAACAGAATTTAAACTAAATTAAGTTAATTATGTTACGCATTCAAAACTCTTTGTAATTCTGTCAGCCTTCATGCAGCTCGTTGCGTGTATTTTGCAAATGTGCATTCCCGCCTGAGATATGGAATACTATTCTGGGGAAGCTCATCATGTAGTACCCAGACCTTTCGATTGCAAAAGAAAATTATTCGAACGATGAAAAAATGCCATCCGCGTGAACTCTACAAGCCTCTTGTAGTATCCCAAAAGCAAGCAATTTCTAAAAATGTGTTTATTCCAATCACTATCAGTACAGAGGTAGAAAAATTCAAGACAGATCCAAACAATTTTCCAGAAGATGTACCGAAGAATGTCCAAGTTACAATTTCCCGGGAAGATGTCCAAAATCGCAGCCGTTGTGCCGTTCACTGTTCCAAGAGAGAGCAAGTCCGTAACCGTAGCTGTGTCGTCGCACTTGTTCACAAACCTCTTATCACTTCACAATGTAGGCAGACGCTTGACTGTCTCTCAGCTCGCCGGGCGCGGTTTTTATAGCCGGCTCGGGCTGCGGGTCCGCTGGCCAGCTGTCAGGTACGGGTGCGTCCGTCCGCTCCGGAGCCTGGTCGAGCATGACGGCTCCGCGGCGTCTGCTATCGCCGCCCTCTCTTGAGTGGCGCCGGAACTAATTTCCGGCGGCACTTTTAGGCACACAGTCGGCCACCGCCTCTCTTCATTGATCTTGGAATCTTACCTTTGCCTTGTCTATTTATTTATGAATCTGTAATATTTATCAAAACTGACTTACTTAATGGTGAAAATTTTCATGCAATTCTGATATTTATAATTACAACACACATCGTAGAAATCACGTTCACCAAGTGTCAGTATGAACAGCTCACTACAAGAAATCCATATACAATACATGTACGTTACTTTACAACGCATTGCCAGATGAATTAAACAATTGAAGTAGATACACACATTTTAGTTAAAAGTAAAATATTTTCTGCTGCATAACTGTTTACATATAATTAGAGAGATACTGATAATCAAAATGGAAAATAACGTTTACTTTAACAAAACTGTGATATAAAATGAATTCGTTTACATTTGTATTGTATAATTTAAAAAAAAGATTTAATATGCTTGTAACAAATAATGTACTTCAGCTTCCAGGTCAATGACTCCTATCTCGATTATATTTTGGTCCAGTTTTCCAGATAAATTGAGCAAATGCTGAGATGGCCCCTTATTTTGCTTTTGAACGTAAATGTAGCTTCACTATGCGCACGTTTTTTTGAACTCTCCTTTTGCTTGTGGCGGTAAGAGTAGAGGTAAGGGCGAGTTACTATTTTATTAGCAATGCAAAGAAATCAAATCGACAGTTCGTTTACCCTTGCGAATAAGTCTTCTATAACTCGGGAACGAACATGTCTAGTTTTTCAAATGTTTTTTATCTCGCTCTTTTTCAAACTTTATTTTTATTTATTTATCTTTAATTTTTTTCGTCTTTCAACTATTGATAGTTAAAATGATGGGAAAGAATTTTCGAATTCAAGAAAACGTGCGCAGATAATCTTCTCCTCCATACGCCACATATAGTTTTTACTGTATTTTGACTAAATAAGTCTAAATAGGTCCGATTATCAGGTTTAACTCGAACATAAAGCCCTCCGGACATTTTCAAATTTTTCTTAAAAACCGCTCCATTTATCTCTTTAAATTTCTTGCAAGAATAGAGTAACACACTTTTAAACGTAGCATAGTTTCACGGTAAACTCAGAATGGTTGTAAATTTCGAAAGTATATATTTTTTCGGTGTCTTCCTACAACTATACAAATAAGAGCGATTTTGCCTTCAAGTATAATTTTTTCTCCATAGTGAGTTTTATTATTAAAGTTAGGTACTTTTTTGAAGATTTTAGTAGTTTTCTGTGCAATTTAAAAAAATACAAAAAATAGGATTTTCTCAAAAACGGCTCCAATTTTTTTCTTTAAACGTTTGGAAGGGATAGTTTTAATGGAATCTACGAGATGACACAAACGCTATATTGTTCTATTTTTTTTTTCAAATAAATATTATATAAAAATATATTTTTTTCTTGTCTCAAAAATTGTTAACATTTAAATTTAAATATCGAATTTACTGTAGCGCTAAGGCGCCATTTTCATAAAAAAACGCTCCAAATTTTTCAAAGAAAATTGCCATTTATTTCTTTGCCTGTTCTTTAATATTCTTAAAGCAATATTTTCGTTCTACTATTTGGAAAGCGAAAAATTAAGAAATTTTCAAAAAAAT